TTGGCGGTCAGACCAATATATTTTCTCAGCACTTGGGACTTTCCCGTGAACAGAATACCGCGTCGCCTTGAGAACGCTAGGACTCTATCAGCTTCTTCGGATATATCCTACCATCGACCATATCCACCCGATCACGCCGGGTTGATCGCACACGTACACATGTATTTAAACTCGCTTGCACTTACGTAAACCTATACATAATACAGGATTGTTCAGGAATTACTCTTTAATTTTTTCAGCTTTTTTTAATTTATCATAATTTTTCTTGGCAAAAATTGCTTGAAAGTGTTCTATAATTGTTAACATTTGTTATGAATGTTTTCTTATACTTGTATGATAGCATAATATCTAATGTATTTATTTACGGTCTAAAAAGGTACATAACTTCTGAGGCATTCTGTATACATGTGTGTGCGCGCGCGCGCGCGCGCGCGTGTGTGTGTGTGTGTGTGTGTGTGTGTGTGTGTGTGTGTGTGTACCTAGATACACATGCATACACTTATGTATGTATGTGTCTGAGACTGATACTGGGGCTGCGAGTTTCGTTTCATCCTACTTGTTGGATAGGGTCTTTGGAGTAGCCAGAGGAAAGGACTTCTCCCTTTCTCTTCTTTCCTTCCTTCCTTCTTTCTTTCCTGCCTTCCTTCTTTCCTTCCTTCCTTCCTTCCTTCCTTCCTTCCTTCCTTCCTTCCTTCCTTTCTTTCTTTCTTCCTTCCTTGTTTGCTTCTTTCTTTTATCGCCTTCTCATCTTCTCTCCTTTTCTTCGAAACACGTGGGGGATTGTTTGTACTCACCTCTCTTCCCATCGCTTCACCTTAGTCCTTCGGTTCTACGCCCCGCGGGAACCCGCCACCCCGTCGTCCGAAGCTCAGATTGCTTTTATACCATGGATTGATTGACAATATACTTACGTTAGCCGAGTGGACCCTACAGTTATGGAGACTGCTACACCCTCTCCGTCTTCCTGTTTCTACCCTGTGCCACCGCCGTTAAAACGCGACCCTCTTCTGTTCGCTAGAACATCGCCGCGGGATCTTTTTACTCTTTTTTTTTTCCTTTTGTTTCACTCTTCCTCATTCATTCACTGTGTGAAAGTAAGCGATTTTCGAAAGATACTATTTTTCGAAAGAAAACAAACAATTTCTTAGACAAGCATACAGTTTTACTGTTACATCCGGATGCGCCATGTATGTTAATCACATATAATTTGTTATTTTTTATTAAAACAATCTGTGTGTTAAAGATAATATTAATCTGATAACTTCGTACAGGGCGAAAATAGTTTAGAATGTGGCTTAAAAAAATTTTTTTATGTTACTATGAATGGAGTTTTTATTAGAATTTAGATAAGAATAATTTAATATGTCTCTTATTTGTTTATCAGTATTACTATAATTATGATTGGAGTACTTTATCTTAATCTTTATCTTACTGTATAATTAGTGTTGTACGACTTATTAATTCTTTTTTCAATAAGAATGCTATTTCTTGGAACGTAATATATTTATTGGATTTATTTTTTATGATTCTTTTGATACTGCCTTTTGTATCCTTCGTATTGTAAATCTGTCATCTGTATGCCGAAACTGATTGTTACGAATTGCATCAGACCAAAGGCGAGGCTAAGACAAAGTATGCCCTGGTGAATATTCTTTTGTACGATCTGCGCGACATAAAAGATTATATCTCATAAATTCATTCCAACCGATGACATGAATTTTCGGGGATAACTGTTTCTTTCTCCACGTCAACATCTGTTGTATTAGGTCTTTTTTTGGCTAAGAAATACGAGTAGATGCAAAATATTTTTTGGATGTATTGAACATTTGAAAATATAATTTATTATCAAGATGTTCGCCTTTCGTAAATGTATACATTTTTACATGTGCGCGGTAGATCTCTTAAAAATATTTGGCAGTGAGAATTCTAATTTTTAGCGAAATATAGTGCGGAAAGCGTTAATACATAATTACAGTAAATACAATTAATCGATAAAGCGATTTTTGTGATCCTTAAGTCTGTTTTATAATTGCGTAAGCATAGTTAAGAATTGATCAATTACAGTCGAATATTCTTCTCGTATTTGACTGTGATTGGTGAATTTTTATAACTACAATCACTTACAACTACGGTTACGCAATTGTAGAATAAGTTTTAACTTGATTAATCATATTGTAAATAAAAAGATAGTTATTATCGCGTTCTGAATAGTAATATTTCTGACATTAATAAAACCATGATTTGTGCGTATGTGTGTACTCGTATATGTGTGGGCATTACGTAGTACGAAAAGTTTGTCGGCTGGACTAGACGACTTGGGACTTGTTCGGAGTACGTTTGAAGTCCGAAAGTAACCCTGCCATTCTTCGGTAGGGTAGCACTATTCAATGAATTCAGAATGCGTTTGGAGAGTCTCCAGCTCCTTCTTTGCCCACCCCTTTTTCCAGTAAAGACGTATGAATCGTCGGATGGTTGCGGTTCCCTGAGCGTGGGACACTTTAGAGCTTATGTCTCCAGAATACGTAACGTGGGATTTCGGTGACGCATTCTTTCTCACCCTTCTGCCAACCTTCATTCGTTCTACCTTTTATTTCATCGCGATTCTTTTGGACATTTTGGATATTAAAATCATCTTTCTCTCTTATGCAAGCACGCCAGATTTATCAGATGATTTACGATTATATTTCGGATAAGTTTTTATGTACTGTGTGAAAATTATAAGTTTTTAATACATTAGATTGTTTTTGTTATTGAGAATAGATGAAAACTACCTGACAGAATATTTCACTGTATTAATGTAAAAATATAGGTATAATTTCTATCTATACATCGGATATAACAAATGAATATTTCACTTAGATGTTTTTAACAATAGTTTATGTTTAGAAAGCGATTTTGTTGATCGTTTCTGATTGTAACAAAACATAATTAGGTTTATTGCATATTTGTCCTGAATTGTATCGTCGCAAACGAAAATGGGATGCCCATTGGCCGCTTAAACTGCGCTTTACGACTGGCAGCGTCATAAAACGAATGCAAAACGTTTACAAACCAACGCCGCTCGTACATAAATTTACACATTATAAGATTTCGGATTCGCAAATACATTTTATACGTATTGTTTGAAAACCAATTATTTTATCGTGTCTGGAATAGAAATTGAAAATTTCTAAGTGTATTATGATTGATCTTTATGAATGTGTGCATTCTAGCTCTTTTTTTGGATTTTATGTGTTATAGCATGCTGCATATAATCGATGCCAATTTAATAACTAATTGCCTTCTTAATTATTGTTTTATACATTTTCTTTCACTATTGCTATTATTTGTTTATTTTTTCTTATTTTTCTTATAACGTCATTAGGAACTTTTGTATATGTTAGGAACTTATTATAAATTTAATTCAATATAATATATAACTTGTTATTACATGTTTGTATACATATTATTACTTTTATTATAATTTCTCTGACAAAATAATATACTTTTATCGCGAAAATATTTCATCAAGTATAAAATACATTATTCAATAGAGATATATAAAAATAATTTATGGTATAACGATATCCAATATATGAGTTGATTGAGACGCTAAAAGTCTGTCATATACTCTAGGAAATTAGTCGCCGTACTCGTCGAAGGAATATACCTACAAACCTGGTCTTCTTTTTCTATCACCACACCCCTGCTGATCGCTTTTCTTTCTTCGGTTAAGGGTGGTGTTGCCTCAACCCCGCCCTGATCCGTAAATATTGGCGACCCCGTAACAGCTCCTCGTAAAAATCACTTGATTACAACCCCTCCCTTCATCACCCAAACATCGTTCATCAGAGAAGAACTGCAATGAAAAATAAATGCTCATGCTTCTTTTTATAATTATCTAAAATATAGAAAAAATTATTTTATTCTTGTATAATTTTAATCATAATAAAAACTGGGAATTTTTTAGTTTAATTCTGTCATTTTTAATTTTTAAAATAATTTGAAACAAATGGTCATAATTGGATTTAATAATCAGGTGAATTTGACGAATAATATAAAATGATGATTACGAAGAAAATGTTTTTTTTTCTCTTCATAATTGAAAAATGACTCAGAGAATAGCGTAATAGAGAGGAAAATTAAGAGATTAATATTTTGGCGTTTCATTTATCATAGAAACAAGGTGAATTAATTTTCGACGTGATGAGAGAGCGGTTTTATCATTTTTATAAAAGTCGTAAAGAACTGAGATTGAGACAAGTTTGCGAGTTTAAACACATTTAATTATATTATTTAATCATTAATTATAAATCCTGTACAAAGTTCACACAAATATCAGCCTCTATTTTTTATCTATAAATTTTGTAAATAAATTGATTAAGAAAAACTGATTAAAAAAAACTCTTACGTATCAACTACTTAAAAAAAATTATGCTCTCCTCTGTTCACATACTAGTGAAAAAAGTATTTACGATATTCAATACTTTTTATTTTATTTTTTATGAGAATTGTGCGTGTCACTATAGTTTGATAACGTATATTGCGTTACCTACGATATTTTTTTCGGACGTAATAACAGCGCATAGCCGCTAGCCGCGCAACGCGTCACCCTCGATATTTCAATAGGCTGAAACTCGATACGATCTGATCGATAGTTCGTCCATATTGTTGCTACGGGGTGGGAACACTGGGAACGTGCCATGTATATCGTTACGTTATGTAACCTGTTAAGTGGCTTGATGTTGTTACGGATTTTAGAGATTATCGCGTACACATCGACGGATAAATCTCGCTGTATTCCATAATTTTATGTATTGCGGCCCTTTAATTTGCTATTTATTTATATCGTAGTGATGTGCATTAATTCACAACAACGATTATCATTTGTCTCAACAATATTATGAAAGTATTATGACTTATATTTTATTATCTATTAATTTCGTGACGGGCACTTTCCTCATTTCTAATATTTTTCGACGTACAATTATCTAAACCGTACCGTGTGATTTTGGTTTCAGGTTTTTCTACTTGTATCACTTCTCTTTCTACGCGTATCACTATCGATTTAACGGACAATACAGCAGTTTGGCACTGGTCACATCTTGGCTCTTTATACAGGTGAGTATATTTTGTTCATTTCATTACGCTCGAGAATGAGAAATGGATATAGCTGCATTGATTTTAAATCTTTATTTATCTTTGAAAGATACATCTTGATACGATCGCGTAAAGTATGATCAATGGAGAATGCAGTCAGGAATAAATTGTTTGATGAAAGTACGCGAATATAAGTACTTGGTAAGGCATAAGTATTTATGCGGTGTATTTTGGAATTAAAGTGGCGCGCCGTCGGATCGTGAAATAATCGTCTTCGCGATAAAAAAACTTCTACGGGAAATAGAAAAGTTTTTTTCAAGAAAAATTGCTCTTTTGCATTGAAACGGACATTGATCACGAATATTCCGTGACCTACTTGCGAGGATTTTAGCCGATATAGTTGGCCTAAGGAATAGCAAGGAAAAAAATCCTTCAACAATTGAGTTGTCTAAAAATTATATTATAGATATATATATACTCTTAGCAATCCTTTCGGGACATAGGCATTTTACATGTAACGTAGAATATTATTATTAATTAATGATATTTCATTTTTAGATCGATAAACGAGATTACTAATAAACTCTCTATTTGTCTCTGAATAATTTATTCACAACTAAGTATTGAGAAGTAAGAATAAATGAAAATCTATCAACATAAAAAAAAGTGAAATTTTATATTGCTATACTTTCCAGTATAAATCATATTAAATTGAAATATTAAAGAGAAAATGCCGTGGATATAGATTATATTTATTACCCGTGTGGTTTTATAAAATAAACGTACGTCTGCAACATTAATCTTTTTCATTGTTTCTATATAGTGTTAATTAATATTAAAAGTACATAAAATTTGCTGTTTATTTAAAAATCGTTATATTTAATTCCTCAAGACTGAATACGATTATATCGCAGCGTTTATTGTAAAATTACGTAATATACAGCAATCGTGTGTGTGTGTGTGTGTGTGTGTGTGTGTGGAATTTTTTGGTTATCGATTATTGTAATTATACAATTATACGGGTGCCGAACCCGTATAAAGAATAGAATGTGAGAGTCAGGTTTGCGACGCGGAGTTTGCACTTCCGCCTCTAAGAATCGCGTCGAAATAGATGAGGGAAAATGGGAGCGTAATATTTTGCATGCGATCTTGTCGGCTACCGTTGGGAGTCCTGCGATTGACAGCAACCGTAGCAGGACGAAGAACGAGCCGTGCCATGGCCGTGGTCGCTTGGCTGGATAGCCCAAAGCCGCTATCGCTCAAACTTAAGTTACGTAAACGCAACCGGGACAATGCTCTTGACAGCTCGATCGATAGAAATAATTTAATGCGGCTTCTTGGTTCCCATATACAAATACGCATAAGGATACTTTAACACGGGAATCTTGCTCTCTCATCGAAAAAGGGCGTGTCCCGTTTCTTCCAATAAGAGAACGTGATCCGTTTTAAGTAATCGTCAGTGAGGTATCGTCACTTTCCATTCGCTGAAATTCCATTAGGAAATATATACGCTCTTGTTCTTAAATTTTTGCTGATTTGCAATTTTTTGGGATTATTTTATTAATCGTGCTACTATTATTTTCTACGCGCGAGCATAAAATGAATTATTATTACTTTCGTTCGTTATCAGTACATTGTGTCACATTCGAGATAAAATTTCTATACTGCAGATCTTTCGCCTTTTGTATTTTATGTACGTGTAATTTGACATAGTTATTGGTTATAATAGTACGTTTCTCTCTACATTTAAGTGAAGTATCTATCGAGTTACAACAAACGATCGATCGTAATAGAACATTTGCTATAAGCCGCTGGAATTTTAGAAACAAATTTGCCTGCTATGCCAATAATACGGTGGGTAATCTGATTGGAGAGCGTACTTTGATAACGCAATAACTTATAATTAGATGATCGCGATGGCTGTATTAACAGGTATTATTATAACGGCATTACGATAGATAGCCGCTACGTTAATAACTACATTCGATATGTACTGTGTACATTTCATGCGTAAAAACTGAATACCATTAAAGTTTAATGGAGTGGTTAATTCACTCGATAAAAGGTGTAAATGCATCACGATGCTGCATCATTACGCGCTGGGGGAAAAGATTACATTATTATGTCGTATTCGCTATTCAATTGTTGAACACATTTATTACACGATCATTTTTAGAATTATAATCTATTTTAACGAAGATTTATCGCGAGGCGCAATAATTTCGCAGATGAAATTAGTATACATTCTAAATGTGTGAAGTGTATTGCATGAAAAATTGCAATTCTTATATTACTGCTATAAAATAAATTAATAGTTATTTCCAAATATAATCCATATAAAATATATTTCGAATATCTCTTAAAATTTCAGATTAGTGTTTAATGTTGTTCTTACGACAAGCGTTGCTTATTATCACATATTATACGACTATTATATAATAACATAGTATAATAATTTCATTCAGTTTTCTTCGCTTTATATAAATAGATAAAAGGTTATCGAATGTATGTACTATTACGTGACGTGATAGTGCAATTTCTTTTATAAACGCATAGATAAAATATAATAATATATCGGCATATTTGAGAACGTAATCGAATATTCTTTACAAGTAGAGTGCGACTTAAACCATTACGTCGATGATGACAGTCTTTACTCGACAGGC